AACTAACGGGTATGCTCACTGTTTTCTTTGATTTTAATGGCATAGTGCACCATGAATTTTTGCCACTAGCTCAAACAGTCAATAAAAAGCACTACCTACAAGCTCGTTTGCGCGAATCAGTCTCCAAAAAAGACCGGATTTGTGAAAAAAAAAAACAACTCATGGCTTTTGCATCACTATAAAGCACAAGCTTACACTTTATTGCGTGTTCGTGAATTTTTGGCCAAAAAAACACTGTAGTGATACCCTATCCTCCGTTTGCGCCAGACATGGCTCCGTGTGATTTTTTTTTCCTTTTTGTCTAAAATAAGGAAAACTTCAAAGGACTATCGTTTCAGAAGCATTAATGACATTAAAAGTGCATCGCTGATATAACTAAAGACTAAATCACAAAGATTGAGTTTGAGAAGTGTTTCAAAGATTAGCAAAAGCGGTGGCACAAGTATATAATATCTGATGGAGACTACTTTGGGGTATGCAACATTAATGTAGGCACATAAATAAATTTTAAAAACAACAATTCCGGGTATTTTTTTAACATACCCCGTATAATAAATCGTCATTTAATTTCTGAGTTGTATGGTGCAAGAATAACGTTTTAGTTGAATAAGGCCATTCACAGCCAGCGGTTTGTGGCGAAAAGAGGGGATGTTTCTTAGAGTTATGTCTCTATATATGAAAGAATACTCCTGGTTTGAGGAGTAGTCGACCAAGTCGCCGAGTTTCTCAAATAAACCTAGAATGTTTTGCACTCCTCCAGTGGGCCCAAGATCACCTGCTTTTTTCAGACGAGATCAGAATCTGTTTAAATAGCGATAGCCGGCGAAATCATGTTTGGAGAGAGCCAACAAGAGCTGCACAACTAGCACATGCCCGTCTCACACGGCGTTTCGCTGGTGGCAGAGTTTTGGCCAGGTATTATGGCAGGTTGACGCATGGAATTGGTGGTTATTGACGAAACTCCAACAGGACAAAGGTACATCACACGGATTTTAGGACTTCATATGAGATTGTGGCGAGGAGCTGTGGGTGAAAATTTTGTTTTATGGATGATAGCGGGAATCCATATGGGATTCAAGCGATTAATGACTATTTTGAGACAGAAGGTATTCGCCATTTGGGGTAGCCTGCGATGTCTTCAGATATAAACTGCAGTCAATATGCGTGAGATGTGCTCTTCAGAACTTTTCAGGCTTGAAGGAATATTCCTAAAACCCATCATGAACATAAAATTGGTTGTTGAGAAAAATGGAAGAATCTGCCACAGAATATTATTGATCGACTTTTTAGTAGTATTAAAACTGGAATCCATACTTGTATCGATGCTCGAGGTGGAAATACAAAATATTAGAATTATTAGACACATTTTTATTGGAAATAATTTTTTTAGTTTTTAATTTTTTATTTATTAAAAATAAGAGTATCTTTCTTTTAAACAAAAAATTTCAGTTAAAATTATTCTGTTTTTTTTATAAAAGATTCATAAAAGTAGTTTCTGAAAATAGTTAATAAAACCAAAAATTTTGGGTGAAGCATAACTTTTACTATGTATTTAATACAGCAAACATGCGACACCAGGCTGGAAGCAATAGTGCAATCATTGAAGCATTATTGCTCCGAATTTTTTTACTGTGAACCGAATTGCATACAATTTTTAAATTTGGTTTATCTTACCCTTCAAAAGTGAAAATGATTTGAACTCCTCAACCACCCTGGGGGTGGTTGCCACCCCTTCTCGGGGGTGAATTTTTTTGTTAACCTCGGATATCAATAGAAGGCCTAATTTTTAACAAAAAAATCCTTTATAAAGTTTTTCGAAAAATCCAATACTTTTCAAGTTATTGGCAATTGAAAATTCGCATTTTTTCACGTTTTTCATCGGTTTTTTGCAAATATCTCCAAAAATATACGTTTTAAAATTTTATAAAAAGACGAAAATTTTATAAAAAACAAAATAATAGCAGGTAAAAAAATGAACAATTTGGTTTTTTATAAAGTATTCTAAGTGCAATATTAAGCTAGATGTTAAAGATCAAAGCTGTTTTTTATTTTGTCTGAAATTTAATCGATGTCAATGCCATCTAGCGGCGAGCAGATGCATTTTACCCATTTTATTAAAAAGAGGGTTTTGTAGTGCTTGAAATAAGCTTTAAAATGAGCACTATTAAAAGTCTTTTGCACGTAAAATATTTGAGCTGTATTGCAAATAAGAGAAGAATCTCATGTTTTTTCTTTTAAATAGATGGATTTCATAAGTGCCATTTCCACCAAAATTAAAATTAATCGTAAGCTTTCTAGAACTAACTTTATTATGAAGAGTTTGATAGATTGTATTAGTTTGGCTGCTTTAGGACACATGTTTTTCAAAAAAGTCACGATTAAAAAAATTCAAATTTTTAGAAAAACCACCTTCTTTTTCATAATATCTTAAAAATAACGACAGATACGTATAAAAGGGTAGAGATAAAAAATTTAGATATTTTTCTGACAAACAATTTGGTTTGTTTGTTTGTTGACAAACAGCGCATTCGCAGCCTCTCTTAAGCCCTTTAATCATTCACCGTTTTAGAAAAAGGTTTTTTACTATATATTGGAATAAAGAATGCTGTAGCTCTCTTAATTACCTTTACAATGGTTTTTTATAAATTGTGATAGCATGAAAATTGACGGAGTTATGGTCCAAGAACTTATCATATTTTTTTCTACTTCGTAACTGAAAATTTCGGAGTGTGAATATTTGGAGCAATGTGAAAGTACGCAGTATAATAGAGACCCAACACTATTGGGACCGTGCAAGTTCGGAACAGCGACACCTGGTGTCGTAAATCAGCCAAATTTACTGCGCTTTCATGTTAGATCGAGGTTACCGGATAACTGTCAAGGACGTGGCCCCAAAAAAGAATAAGAAGAAAAAGTAAGATTGAGGTTATGTCGGTATGTTATTAAAAGGTAAACGTTGATGTAGCGTAAATACAAATAAATATATTATTGAATTACAGCATTACTGTTAATATGGATGCAATAATAAAAACTGGATTTCAGAAAGTAAATCACCAAATAACTTTTCAACCAAGCATGAGTCAAAGGGAAAAGCTTTAGTAGTGGCAAATGTCTAAAAAGACTGGAAGAATTATGTGGAGTGGAAGAATTAAGAAAAATAAATTATCATAAATAATGCTAATGCATAAATTAGCAGGTTAAGCCCATGATATCATCATATTGGTTTGAACAATTAATTCTTTCCCTGTAAACTTTTGGACAGCGAATATATCTTAATGCATCTTCAGAAAAACTTGAACTTGATGCATTTTTGTAAACTTCAAAAAAATAAAATTCAAACAATAAACTTGATTTTTGGGTTAAAATGAACTCTAAGTTAGTGTTATGAAACTAAAATTTATACTTAAAAGTGAACTTTTATTTAATATTTATTTCAAACTGACTTTAAAATTGGACGCAAGAATAATGCATAATTTAGGTTATGTTACTTATGCTTTTTTATAATATAAATCCACTTTTCTCTTTGTAGTAGCTTTGTGCTTCAAAGTTGGAAACGAATAAAACTTAAATTGACAATTTTTTGTTGTATTTTTACAATTTATAACACAGCATTTCCTAAATCCCATTTTCTTCAGTGATAGAAGGTGTAAATAAACAAATGAATTTATGAAATCTATGATCTATGAAATGTGCAATAAAAAATGTAAGATTTCTCCACTACTCGCGCACGATCGTTTCTCGTATCCCCCCCAAGTACTTGCACGTCGCCAATTGTAATGTGTATATACATAATATGGCTCATATATTTTGGAAACGTAGGCATCAATACAGTCCAACATTCTTATATGTATATATAACACATTTAAGTGAAGAGGCCAGGGGTTAAATATGTAATCATATATATTTACTGTTTTTATTTAGGGACAGTTTTAAATGTAAAAAAAGCTTAAGAATATGATTATCATTTTCGAGAGTGTGGAATAATACTTAAATCCTTTTCATTTTATCAAAAAAAAATTTTTAACAATTTTTTATTAAGGGGTAGTGTTCAAGGGTTAAAAGGGAAATAAAAATTTGATAATTACTGTAGAGAATATAAAATATTACTTACTCTATACTTACATCTTTTTATGTCATACCAAAATATGTTTTTGTCATTTTTTTTAATTTAGGAGTTATTTGCAAGGGTTTTAAGATCTTAAAGGGGTTGAAAATTATTTTAGTATAAGGTAATTGTGTTAGAAAACATTTTACAATTTAGCCGCTTACTATTAGACATGTTTTCTAGCGATAAAATTGCTTAATGTCAATTTTTCCATTAAGGGGTTGTTCACACCCCTTAAAAATAATAGGCGGTGTTCAGATCATTTTCACTTTTGAAGTTAAGGGTAAGATGAGCCTAAATTCAAAATTTCATGCAAATCGGTTTACAGTAAAAAAATTCGAACGTAAGACCGTATTTTTCGGTTCAATGACTGCACTATAAAGATATACAAGTAAACTGTTGTGTTTTCCCAATAATATTCTTTCTTAATAATGAAATAGATATTTAATACTTCAACACATATTATACTAGTAACATCATACTATTAGAGATTTAATCTCAATTCATTCAGCTACACACATAAAAGTAAAAATTGAAGAAGGCCAGACAAAAAAAATTCTGGCTAAAGATCTTATAGCATTTGCTATGGTTATTGCATAAGTTGGTAAGTCTGATGTGTCACATGGAGATGGAAGATCTATATTTGGGAAAATAGTACTAAACGACAAAAGAAAGAAAAATGTTATATATTAGTTAAATATTCAAATATATCTTGGATGGTGTCAAAATTAGACAAAGACCTCAGCATCCAGTCCTATAAAATATGATAAATAATATATGTTATGCAAATATTAATTATTCAACCTGAAACATGGAGGGAGTAACCTAGATAAGCTTAAGTCATCCAAATAATAAATATTATTGAATGTGAAGTAAAAAAAATTAATCAACTCACCAGTTGTAAGGGTTTTAAATGGACTGCAGTCAATGTAACAACAGTAACATACCAAAATAACCAATTCATTTCTAATTAGCAGAGACAAAAATTTTCGTTATAATGTGCAGTAACAAGTAATACTACCGCCTCTATATATAGTTTAAAAATATAATTACAATGTGCCTAATTATATTTTTCAAAATAAAAACGTTGTTCGTTAGTAAATAATTTATGACGTTGCATAACAGGTTCGGACCGTTTAAAACTACAATAATAGATATTAACACTTTAAACTGTAGTTTAATTACTCAAATTAACAACTGAAGATAAGAATATAAAATTATTATTGACGTCTTGACTTTTAGATGGAAAACCGTTGCCGAAAATAATTTTAAAATAAATATACATACTATTCTATAATTTGGCTTTCGATGTAATCTGACTTATATAATATTGACATCTGTTAACCAAACAGCTGTGTGTTTGTTTGTCACCTCAACTTCAATCAAATGGTCGAGTTCTTACACCCGTACCATAAACAATTTTTTTAATATGTTTTTTGTGGAGTCCAATGTTCTGTCTTCTGTGTGTTTTTTCAAAGAACAAACTTATCCTTAATAAAGGAAAATAATGGATTTTTTCACCAAAATAGTGCTTTTTAAAACTTGACCATAGCTCTGAGGATGGCTTTTAAGCCGAAAGCGCTCAACTAGGCAATAAATTCTATACACTTTAAAAATACTTTTCTTTTTCATTCTTTGTAATAAGTCATAAGTCATAAGTCTGTACAAAAACATATTAGTCTATTCATAAATTATTTATTTCCGTGGGATAATGTGTATATATGTATATGATATTCGTGAAGGTTTATTGGGATACTTTTAATGGTGTCAAAGGGTGTCTTTTAGGATGGCACGTACACCTTCTTGTCTTCGTATTATAATTACACCTTATATATTTTTTACTGGCAATCTGACTTGTGTAGTTGTCTGTACCTCTAGCTATACTATGTAAAATTGCATGGTACTTGTAACGTAGTCATTTATGTGGAGAGTATATTTCGCTGTAGTGAGTAGTAAATTTAATACTTTTTTTTATTGGCTTTAGGGTAAATACCCACACAGCCAGACATAATTTTTTTTTAAAAACACATACAAGGATTACACAGGGATTGCACTCTTCTCGCCCAGAGGCCGATCAGGGCATTTTTATAAACGATAAAAGGTAGGCCTTGGAGAGATAGATATGCATATATTAAGGAAAGGCATCAGATATTAACAAAGGTGGTTATATTTGTATATTCGTTGTTCTGACGAAAGACAGCAAACAATCGTAAATTTATTTTCTGTCTAAAGCAAGAAGATGCAGTATATTATACAGCCTTTCAAGGTTAAATTTTAAAAGTTTTTTGAAAAGCTCATTAGATTGAGCCCTATATTTTAAACAATCAAAAAAGATGTCGTCCAGATCACCGATTTTATTACAGGCTTTACAAAGATCACTCTCATGTATTTTTATTTTAAATAAATGTGCTGGATAACATGCGTGACCAAACTTCGTTCTGCTGATAGTATTTATACTTTTTTGACTGTAATCGTACTCATTGTACAAAGGTTTTCTCCTTAATTTGGTTTCAAGTTTGGTGTAACGTGTTGAATTTGTAAAGCTGTACTCTTGCCATTAATAGTACCATTTCTTCATCATTCTCTGTTTTGCTATGATTATTTGTTCGTCTGTAGTTATTTCGTAATTTATTTGTTCCCCCATTACTATGCTTTCTTTGGCCATTTGATCTGCAATTTCATTGTTTGTTATTCCTGCGTGTGCTTTGACCCAGAAGAATTTTATATATTTATTTTGATCTTGTAATTGTTTAAGTATTGCTTGGATGCTAAAATAATGTCATTAGTTGTGTTTTATTTCAAAATTTTAAGAATGGAAAGTGAATCGGGAAAGATTATAGGATTATGATCATCTTCCTGATAAACATATTCTAGTACTTTCAGAATTGCTATTGCCTGAGCTGTGAAAATAGATGTGTTTTTGTTTAACTTATATTTTTTCTGTATACGTTTAGGTATTACGAAAGCGCAACCTGTAGAATCGGTTTTTTTTTATCCATCAGTGTATTTATAGTTTATTTTTATGAACGAGAGAGTAATTAGCATAATTTTAACTGGTACATCTGACCACTCCATGGGCGTGCTCAAGATTAATTGAAAAATTACTTTGAATAATTGTAAAAAATAAATGAATTATTTCAGTGTTATAAAGTGTTATGTGTATGTAAACAAAAGTGACCTCTTTTATCACACACTATATTAGAACTGATTGGCCTACATTAAAAAGAGTTTTAAAAAATTCACATTTTTTTTAATTTTTAAAAATTACAAAAGAGAAAAAAAATTTTTTAAACCGTCTAAGGTATGTTAAATAGATGAATAAAAATATTAATATAAAACTTACAGCTACTTGTTACAAATCCAAATCAGATTCAGAAGATGAACTTTCAGAACCAAGATTTATAATAACTGGCTCGATCATTTTATCAGTAATATTGTCCAGCTTCCACATTTTTTCCTCTACTTTAATAGTGTGATTTACTGCCTTTTCCCAGTTTTCAGGTTTTACATTATTTACGGCCTCTAAAAACAACTGTTTAACATCATGAATTTTAAAAGTGGTATTTTTTCTTGAAACTTCTCTCTTTATCTGTGCCCATACCAGTTCAATCGGGTTTAATTCACAATGATATGGTGGGGATCTAAGTACTGTCATTCCACGATTTTTGGCAATTTCATCAATTTCGTATTTTTTAAATTTTTCTTTATGAAGGGCACACAACGAATAATGCTCCTTTCTTATAGATCCGGGATGGTACGTAATATTTTTTGAACTCAGCCAATTCGGCAAGTCTTTTTTTAACCACTTGGTTGTGGGTAGTCCTTCTATAAGTCTGGAGTGATAACTTGCATTATCCATTACTATTACACAGTTCTTAGGAAGAAGATCTATCATTTGTTCGAACCATTCTTGAAAGACATCAGCGTTCATGTCTTCATGGTAGTCACCAGTACGAGTTGATTCAAAAGTTAATAAACCACCTTCAACAAAACCGTCTGAACTGCCAATGTGTACTATTATCAGCCTGCGTCCCTTTCCTGATGGTGGGTTTAAACCAGTAGATAAGTTATTTACAAAAGCGTGCGTTTGACTTGTAACAGTTTCATCCTGCCAGAATCTATTTGGTGTATGACCCTCGTTGATCCATGTTTCATCAAGATAAAATATTTTTCTTTTTTGGTTTCTCATTTCCTTTATGGTTCTTAGAAAATGTCTTCTCCATATGACAATATCGTTTCTTTCTAATAAAATAGACTTTCTGGGATTCTTTTTCCAGCGGTAGCTTATTTCTTTTAAAAGTTTCCATAACGTACTTCGACTCATTTCTGGGTAATCCTTATCATCTCGAACTGAGACAAGAACTTTATCCAGTGTTGGAAATTCTTGTCTTAAGAAGAATTCATGCACTTTCCGCCGAAGTCCTTCTTTAAAATGATATTCTATTTGAAATTTTGGTTTCCCTGGAGAATTACGTGGCATTTGAAAACTACCACATTTCTCTTCTTTAATAACTTTGTAAATCGTAGATTTCCCAACACCAAGTGTACTGCTAACTAACTCAACGGTCTCATCAACACTTTTACATAAACGTTTGTCTGTAAATGATTTAAAACAATTAAATATTAATGTTTTTTCATTAACTGTTAAAGGACCAATTTTTCGGCGTTTACACGGCTCTTCCAAATTTTCCATAACACTAGTATATACAATAAACTGCACCTTGCAACTGAAGTACCTACTTTTAGTGAACTGTTAAGAATTTTGAATACGCCACTTGGACCTTCTTACAAAATGGAAAAATCCACTATCACATTTTCTGTGGAATAAGTTTAGAAGGTAATTATCTAGTCAATTACTGTCGTAGATTCCTGGAATTAAAGAATTAAATGTTTGATTGTTGAAACCCTTACTTCGTGGAATGCACTCATTTCAGATAAAATAAAACGTTTTATTTTATCTAAAGAATTAAACTTTATTTTGCAAATAGGTAGGTACCTATTAAACTTTTATTGGTTATATATAACCAATAAAATAAACATCTTACATTTCTTGCAAATTCATTAGTACCTGTTAACCTCCATCACTCCGACACTGGCAACCTTATTTAGGGATTAGTAACCCTCACAACTATTGTATTCTATTCTGCTCCAACCTTTATACCTGGTGGTCATACTCAATTTAAAATTGTTTTCCTATATACTTCTGTAAACTTGTTGACAAATATCTGTTTTTCATTGAGTCACCCGTATCAACAGTTTAGGGATTTGCATACATAATTTATTGTTTTATTACTCTCTCATACATAAAAATACACTATAGTGACGTAGTTTGAATGTTTCTCTAAAATTTGATTTATGACTATACTATTAAATGATGCTAACTCCGAATAAAGAGGTATATTCACATCACATCAATAGAAGAAAAGTGTTTATGAATCCAAAAAGGCTTATAAAATTAACGCTTTTAGGCCGTATTCGTTTAATTTATACATGCTGCTAACGAATTGTAAGTTTTTCTTAAGCGACTTAATAATCATTTTTCAGCTAAAAATGATCTTCTCAGTTCTAATGGAGGTTCGATTGCTTCAGCTCTTAACGGTTCAACTGGTGTAGATTTCATTGCTCCCAGACATACTTTGAGTGATTTGTTTTATATAATATCCAGCTTACATAGATTTGTTTTATTGGCTGTTCCATAAAGTGTATAACCATAATCAATTATTGATCTTATGTAAGCTTTATAGAAGAGTAGAGCTGTTTGAGATTCTGCACAATGGATTCTAAAAAGTTTAGCTCTTTATTGCATTTTGTCTCTATTTGTTCAATATGAAGTTTCCAGGTTAATTTTCTGTCTAATATGATTCCTAAGTTTTTGACATTGGTATCCACCGGAAATTCTATACCATCTATTGTAATTTTCTGCATCGGTTTCATGTTTATAGATTATAATTTTGGATTTTTCTGCGGAGATTTGAAGCCCTAAATTACTTTTGAAATTTCGTTTTT